CTAATTATCTTTAGCAGGGGTATTGTTAATTAGTGGAAATTATGGGTCATACGTAGATGCCTATTGGGTCGTAATACTTTTTATATAATATAAATAGTAAGATATTTATAAAGCTTAAATAGGACTATATTATTAAGTAAAGAGAGGTTTAATTTACTAATATTTAATATAGTATCTTTAACTTTATAATTAAGAAAAATAAAAGATATATTATTATTAAGAAATTTAATATTTATTTTAGCTAGATATTAGAAATTAATTAGTAATTCCTATTTTTATTGCTTTTAGATAGTATTAAGTAGATATAGGTAAAGAGAAAAAGACCTAAAGATAGCTAAGGATATTAATTAATAAAACAACTAGATTATATATAGAATAAACTGCTAAGTTAGTATAATGCTGAAATTTACTTAGAGATATACATGCATAGCATCTTAGCTAGTTAATAAAGAAAGTGTAGGCACTGGGGCTATAGCTAACAATGAGTCAAAGAAGACTCAAGGTTATAAAGAATTCAAGCTTAAAGATCCGGGGCAAAGAGAGACGGGGATAGCATCGTGCTGCATGAGGGGATATCTTTTAAGATCCTATTATGTTGCGGGTTTGGATTAATAGTAATACTTACCAACCATTCCATTCCATAAGGGTACATCTAGAGCTAGCAATGGCAGTAGTGCTGATGTGTGTTTAGGGGAGTTTAGTCTTACGCTGTAGCTATCGGTCAGTCATCGTGGTATCGATGTCTAAGTCGTGGGCTAGAAGTGTTATTTGCAGTTGAATCTTGTGGCTGAGGGCTTACTTCAGCACAAAGGACCTAGAGGCGCTTGGGCGGCTGTGTGAGGCACCAATTAGACCATTCAAAATGGGGAATTGTTTCGGAGGATGGGCTCCTAGCTTAATATCGGCTCGGCCCCCGCACACTACAGCATCCCCTCTCCATGTGCAGCCTTAATTACCGCAGGCTTCCATTCAGGCTACCTGGAATCGATTACTTTACGAAACACTCACGTCCAGTTGATGGCCACCTACGAGCACGTCAAGATGGCCTATATGTTGATGGACCTGCCACTGGAGGTTTTTATACTCATAACTAACAAGGTCTGTTACCTTTGTAGCGTTTGTTCTTGGCAAGCTCTAAATATTTTATCCTGGCAGTTGACCAAAGCCGATCTGAAAAGACTTTCCCAAGCCTCGAGGTGGTTTCGGGAAAGTGTTGCCAACAGTCTTTGGAAATCCATCACGATCAAGCCGCAGAGCGAATACCATTTGAATCGCATCCGGGTGACAGGTCTGCCGCAATCATGTCTTCAACATGCCACGCAACTTCACTTCCGGTCTGATTTTGATTTTTCTGTAAGGCGGCGTTGTCCCCATGCAGAGGGACTTGACTATTCAATAGACATTGACGATGGAGATGATGAGCTGCAACATCTGCCGCGATTTTATAGCCTTGCTCAGAAGGCAGAGTCAGTAATTCGGCGGTTCGAGCGCCACCAACTCCAGAGTTTCAGGTAGGAACTGCTGGCTTTGAAGCTCATGAGTCTAGACTCATCTGACACTAGTGTAGTTGGGATTTAGGGACATGCTTGCCGCCCGAAATCCTCGGGGTCCTTGGCGTCATCCCGATTCAACAGTCCTCACTCCAATCATTGAGTTTAATCACTGATCCGACTTGCCGGGCCTCTTATGATGGAGAGTGCGAGATAGATCTATCCCCATTCAGCAGCCTTCAGAGCCTGAGCTGGAGAGGCCCTACCTCTGATAATCTGCACGCGCTTACCGTCGCTCTGCGGAATAATTCGACGCATCTCAGGAACCTGGAATTGGATTTTTTGAATTGGCACGAACTTCGAGAATATCTGGGTTATTACGGCGATGACGAGGATGACCTAGATGGCACCAAAGAGATCAATTACTTTGCTGATGTCGTTCTTGGCTTGAACAGACACTCTCCACGCCCCTTATTCCCAAGAATCCGTGTGCTATCCCTCTCGCAGGTACCCCTCTCAACGGCAATGGCCCATGCCTTCAACTTCGAGACCCTCTCGTCTCTCATGTTGAGAATGTGCCCCAACTGCCATCAATTCCTCAAACGCGTTATGCAGCTCAACCACCCGATAAAGCTGAAAAGACTTGAAATTCAGGAATGGAGCGAGACCTTTGTTCTAGATTACCTTAACGCCTTTGAGGGACTGGAAGAGCTTTTCGTAGGCGAAGCTGGACCGACTTCAGCCCTTGAGCTTTGGGGCCACGTCGCTCATCGCCATCCAAATCTCAAGAGATTTGTTGGTCACCAGAGAATGATCAATACCAACGAAGACTCTCCGCATTTTGAAAGGGCGTGTGATGTGCCGGATCTAGGCATTTCTGGACACAGTATGCACCGAATAAAAGAAGACCCTTCACAGAATCCCCTTGCGAAGCTTGATCTTGAGTTTATTGGCATACCTTGTATGCCAAAACGCCTGGTAAGCCCTCGACGTCCCCATCAGATACGTAAGCTAATTGTGTCTCTTATAGAAATACATCTTATTTCCTTTCACGTCAAAGACTTCATTAAAAGTCCTTCACATTCGCCAGTCAGCCCCAAATATCGAGCAAGGCGCGTCTTGGGCCATAAACGAAGACCCGGCATTGGCGACTTCGATTACGAGAAGCGATACGTCGTCCGAGAGTGGGGAGTCTCTCTCTTGGACCGACTCAGGTCCTACCACCCCAACTGGTGCGGCTGGAGACGTCACCTTCGGACCCAACGCGGTAGAAGTCACTGCTTATAACCACGGAGGAAGCCTTTGGCCTCTGCTGCAGCACGATTTCCGCCAGTTTCTCGAATGGGCTTTTGGGCCGCAGGGCATAGCATCACTGGATATTGTTGCGTTTGGAGATTTCGCCCACGGCGGCCGGGAAAGTACGTATAATCTCCTTCTCTCCAGGAGTACCGATGCAACGAGCAATTTTCGGATCCTTGACCCATACAGACGAGATTGTGAAGAAGTCCAAGATAAGTATCGTGACGCTATGGAGGCCTGTCCGGCAGAACCGCTCTTTAAATTTTGAGATAGTAGTGCTTTCAGAGCACCCCACTCGCGTTGCTGAACTAGACGAGGGTAGATCTCAAAGAATCGAGGCATGTTTGATTTCAGCTCCACATGGTGGCTTGTTTTGGACTCAAAAAGGTGACGGCATAAGCTTCTTTGAGCAGCTACCACACTCTTCGAGGGGGCTTGTAGGTTGCAAATACAAACCCAACGATCCGGATCTCTCAGCCTTATCAAAGGCCTGTCACGAGCTACCTGGTACTACGACAAGAAACCACTTGCACGCGCCCCTTCTCCTAGCCGCCGAAATCGGTGCTCGAGAGTATATGATCAGAAATCCCGAGTTCCGCACGCTTAATGGCCTAGCATGCCAGGATGTACCTGCCCCCCTTTACTTTCTCTTGAGTTTCGACCGCCAGGTTTCACACCAACTAAAGAAAGCCGCCCATCACCACATATTGTCCCGATGCTCTTGAGATCAGGGGCCAATCCACGACGTCGAGACAATGTCTTCACACCCTGGGTGCTCTGGTTACAGGAACCATCGGGGCTCACGCGGAAAGACCGGACGGACGACGATGTGCTCCAGGTTATTGACGTGGCTGAGATCATGGTTAAGTACGACGCTGGGGGGACCAAGGAGTTGAGGAAGTGGTTGAACAATGATGGGTTTCGTGACCGGTCTATTACTGTGACGCGAAGGGGGTACATATTGTTGAATTTCATTCATGAACATGAAAGAAGGATTTCCCATTTGGCTGGGCCATGTTTCTGATAGGAGTGGACAGTGATGATTTGAGAGAGTCAGGTATCTTGTATAGCCGATGGTGAGTTGAAATGTAGGATTGCAACTATATTCAAGAGAGCGTCAATAGATACTGCAAGCTCGTTGATGATCACGCTCTGTGTTGCTTTTAGATGGGAACAAGTAAATGCAATCTTGATGCAGAGCTACCTAATTATAGTCGAGTTGAGTGCATGACTAAGAACTGCAGATAGCCTTCTAGTTCTAAATCCCTTATAAAAGCAATATGACTCAAATTGTACTACGTACGTTGGCATGACGTTAAGGGTGCTAGTCAGATGAGTGCGATGAGCCATTGCTGGCATGGAGATAATGTATATCAACATTGCCAACACCAGTGAGGGTTACTTGTGATAATCCTCCATCAGAGATTACTGTCATCGAGTTAGCTTCTAAGATTTTTCACAGAGCCGATGGTCGTTTATGGTTAGCTTAGCATCAGCCGCACGCCAGTCTCCTGCACTACCCTCCTCCAATGACTCGTCCCCTTCCCTCCTCCTGGCCCCCTCCTCCAGACCTCTCTCAAAACATCAATCCCACTCCTCACGCTTGCTAACCTATACCCCTCGACCTTCTTATACCACCCCCTGAACCTATCCTGCAGACCCTTCTCGAAGGCCTCACTCCCCGCTATAAACGCTGGCCAGTACAAAGGGGCGGAGAAGATGTTCTTCTCGGACTTGATGGCCTCAATGGCTTCTATGGAGGATAGGACGAGGAGAATGTGGGTACGGAGGTAGTTGTGGTGCAGGTGGCGGATGTGTTGCGCAAAGTAGATTATTAGGGCGGAGTGGAAGGCGAGGGTGGTCTTTTGGATAATGAGTGCGCTGGGAGTTGTGTCTGAGTCGGAGATTGAGGACGAGGCGGGTTCCCAGTCGATAATGTCAGATTCGAGCTGGTCGCATTGGTCGGAGAAGTCAGTTGATGGGCTGTTCGGTTGTTGTTGGCGGGACGTGGTGACTTGGTCGATGAGCTCGGTCGTTCGCGCAAGGAGGATGAGAAGGGCCTGAGGAACACCGTAGACGCATTCATACTCGCCTACTTGCTGGGCCTTTGGGGCAGTGACGTGGTTCAGCACTGACTTGGACTTCCCTGGCCCTGCGCTTTCATCTTCGACTTTGTCCAGTAGACTGACGGATAGGGCGGTGCCAAAGTCGGCCTCGGGAGAGGGTGGAGATCCGTCGTTGTAGTCACAAGAGTTCCTGCAGGCTGTACTGTCGTAGATGACGCGGAGGTAGAAGTATATGCGGTGGAGGGAGCGAGCTTTGGAGGAATACGTCGACTTGGTGGCTCTGACGTGGTTCATGAAGCGGAAGGCGCCGTCTAGATGGATGCCACAGGTGCTCGTGTCTCCAGACATGACCTGTGCCCCCCTTGAAATCAGTATATGTGACAACATGATCCAGGTAATCCAGCGTGCAAAGGCAACTCACATTGATGGTGATTTGTGACAGCATCGTAGCCAACAGTTCCTTATACTTGGGCCTCGACTGTGGCGTCGATCTCTCTACCGTTTCCTTCAACAACTTGATCGCCCTGCCCCTAAACGTCACCGCATCCTCCTCCCACCTATCCCCTTCCTTCTCACACCCTCTCTCGCGGTTATCATTCGCCAAGTAGAAAGCGCTGATGCTCAGCAGCGCGTTCCGCAACGCCTCTCTGACCTTTGTCGTGGAGCCGTGCAGACTCAGCTGGCCGGCGGACTGTAGGACGCGAGGGAGGTGGATGGTCTTCCAGGGTGATTTCTCGTACGAGATGACGCAGAAGAGGTGGACGACGCGGTGGACGTAGTGGTTGAGGAGGAAGCGTTCGAGGGTGGGCAGGGGGAGGGGCTCGGGGTTGTGGATGATGGTGTTGGAGGTATCTTTCCACCAAAGTGCGCGGTCGTCTTGTTGTTGAGGGTGCTTGTGGGATGAGGTGTAGTAGTTGAATCTCTCAGGAGGCGCTGTTGTTATTGAAGTAGAGGGACTCTCGGGTGGCCGATCTCGAAGGATAACAGCTGTGTTATCTTGAAAGCTATCTTCAAGAGTGATCGCTGTGCTCTCTTGATATGACGTGAGGCTCATCGAGGCCTCATGAGCATGAAGAAGGGCCCCAAAACCAGTCAGGGTGAATCCAGGGATGGATGCATGTGGAAGATATTCCTCATGACTTGATTCCGGTTCCCAAGAGTCAGCGAAAGAATTACTAGACAAAGACGGCGGAGTATTCTCCGAAGGCAGTGCAGTGGCGTAGAACGGCAACGTGCCGTCGTCCTGGTAGCCTTGTTCAGTATAAGATGGGTCAAAAACGCCGAAGCTGGACAAGAAGAGCTGGCTGTGGTGTGAGGGATCCTTTTTACCCTGGAAGCTGTCGATCTGGCTAAAGATATCATCGAGCTCTGATAGCTGAAGGGTAGATTCTACATTCTCATCTGTGAATCGACGATGGTCAGCCTTGATGCTGAAATGTACTCTGTAGACTAAATACGAGCACTTACCGCAAACGACAAGACTTCGCTGAAGTCTTTGCTGGCCAGGGCCCAAGTCATCCTCAGATTGCCTACTCCCATCATGGCGATATCCGGGAGATACAGCTTCCAAAGGCATCCATCGCAGCCTGACCTCGTAGCCCTCACAGCAGAGCTGTTTGAGCCTGCACTGCATACAACTCGGCCGGGTCTCATCGCACTTGACTTTACGCGCGCGACATGTCCAGCACCCCGCGAAACTCTTGTGACGCCTTTTGCGCAGGGATGCTTGATCCATGGCTCTCGTACCAAATGGCGAAAGTGCTGCCGACGGCGACACGGACAGTGTCTGTGGATGCTGGCGATCAGCAGGGGAGGGGGGCTTGAGAGAGGAAGTTCAAGGCGGTTGGTGTTGATTATTGCGGAGTAATTGAGGACCACTGGGGCCCGCTCTACCCAATATTTAGAGACGTGGTGATAAGAGGCTTCTCCGCAGTCATTGACATAGCCTGCATAGATAGACTACCCTTGTCGTCCAAAGTTCGCCAGATTGGCTGCTACATAATGCAGACGCTTATCGTTGGAAGGAGGGAATTCTGCGGCCTGAGTCAGGCTTGCGCTGATAAGTTGTGGAGAACCTGACGTAGCCCGAAGTTGGGGTGAGCTCCAAGCCCCCCAACCATTCACTGCACGCACTACGGAGGCGCTAAGCTAGCTACAGTAGGTAGCTTGCCTTAAGCAGTAAGTCAAGGAAACTATGTGAACCATACATACCTATCCGCTATCTATTTCCCATTACGAGTGGAGGCCGTTGGCCACGATTAGGTAGCTCACATTCTTGAGTTCTGAGAGGGTAGGCAATGATTTATCCTTGGTGATTGATATTTTGACTAGCATCGTGGGTTAAGACTTTCTTCCTGCTTCTTCTCCTTATTCCTGAATAACAACGACAACGACGATAAGGTTTCCAATCCGCATTACGCCAATTGTACAGTAAATACCACAGCTCAAAGAACAACACAATTCAATCATGGCTGTCAAGGGAATTCCATTATGGCAGCAAAAGGCCGCTGAGGCAAGAGCCCATCGCGATACCTCTCTAGCCAAGGTCGAGCCGCCGTTGAAGGGTGTACCGGCTGCCGAACAGCTGCCAAGGAACTCTCTGGAGCTGGTGCCGCAGGTCCTCACCCCGCGCGAGATTGAGATCACAGAGAGCTACACCGTTACCGAGCTGCTCCAGGTTCTTCGGGAGAGGAAGATCTCGGTTGAAGAGGTCACGCGAGCTTTCTTAAGAAGAGCAGCGCTGGCTCAGGCTACGGTATGTTCTGCTAAATCGAAAAGTCTACACGAGAACAATGTAATGGAAGCTGATGACGGGGGGAACTCCAGACAAACTGCATTACTGAGCTCCTCTGGGATCAAGCTATCGCCCGTGCTAAGTACCTAGACTCTGTACCCTCTCCCCAAGGTGCCCTCTTTGGCCTGCCTATCTCTACAAAGGAGCACCTCGGTATGGTCGGCCAAAATGTTACGTCCAACGCTTCTTTCACTGCCTGGGTCGGCAAGCCCCACGGCTCAAACCTCCTGTTCGACAGCCTGTGGGCCGAGGGCTGCGTCTTCTTCGCCAGGACGACACAGCCGCAGGCAATCATGCATCTTGAGACCGAGAGCAACGTGTATGGAAGGACGGTGCACCCGCTGAACAGGGAGTTGACACCTGGAGGGAGTTCAGGAGGAGAGTCGGCGTTACTGGGTATGAGGGGAAGTTTGTTGGTGAGTGAGCTGGCTTTTCCAAGGATCCTCGCCCCTGTATTGGCATGAGACTGACTCTCTGGAAGGGTATTGGTGGTGATATTGGTGGCAGCATCCGACTCCCTGCCTCCAATACTGGCATCTACGGGTTCAAGTTAGTCGCCTTCCAATATTAGGAAACCCCCACGGCTGACCATGCCCAGACCTTCAACGAAGAGAATCTCAAGTTCCGGCCTTCGAGCCGCATACCTGGGCCGTGATACCATCGCTGGCTGCCCTGGCCCTATGACAGTAAGCCGCGACGGCCTTGAGCTCCTCATGCGCATCGCCCTCGCCGCAAAACCCTGGCGTATAGATCCCCTTGTCACCTTTAAAGAATGGACACCCTACAAGTTCACAACCCCACCTAAGGTCGCTGTGCAATGGTGGGATGGCGTGGTGATGCCGCATCCGCCTATGACGAGAGCGCT